GAAGGTCATGTACTGACAAGCTGGTGCCCCGGGGACCCCAGCCCTGAGTCCTGTGTGCCACGGCTCTGGGTTTGCCAGGTCACATTTTCTGATGATGAAACAGAACCTTGAATGATGAGTCAGCGGCACTCATCACACAGGCTCTGGTGGCTCTGAAGTTCACCTGTGTGCAGCTGGCCGGTAGCTCTGGTGATTGTTACTGGTCCACAGGTCTGTCTCTTGACCGCTCAGCCTCCCAAGGGTCAAGTGCCTTGAGGTGGGACCCGTGCCCCCCAAAGTGCACACAGGGCGTCACGGCCAGACTGGTGGGGACCTGGGGCCTCTGGCCGGCACTCACTCTGCCTGGTTCTCTACGAGGCTCTCGGAGCCCTGGACGCCTGCACTCCTCGGATGTCTCCGCCGGGGGCCGGAGATGCCTGACCCCGGCTCACAGGCGAGCTTGGAGTCCAGGGGCTGCATGAGCCGGCTGGGGCTCACTTCCGTTGAGAGACGGCAGTGCTTTCAAGATGCAGGGCCGCACCTGCTCACACTGGGGAGACGAGGGCTTCGGGGTCCCCGTGGAACCCTGAGGACAGCCCCTTCTGCGCGGGTCAGGCGGCAGGGCTCACGGCTCAGCCGTCCACCCGCTGACCCTGCCGCTTGCCGGCCGTCTGGGGGCCGAGTCGCCAGCCCCCTCCCACGGCACGGTGCACTCCTCTGTGCGCCTTGTGTCCTCTCGTGAGTTTAATCTGGTCAAAGTAGTTGGACTCTTTAGGTAATTGGACTCTGTAGACACTTTTCACAACTGAGCCAGAGTAGTGTATTATGAATGGCACTCCCTGTTTCTCCCACTTTGGTTTCCTCTGACGCTTAGGTTTGCCTTGTTTGTGCTGGCTTGGTTGCCTGTGTGTCACGACCCAATGAGCCTCCGTTGGCAGAGAGTGCTCAGGACATCAGAACGCAGAGTCCCTTCCTCCCCTCCCCCTTTCCTTTCCTTCCACCCCCCAGCATCCCCACTCTAACCTGCGCAGGTCCTCCTGGACCTGGGAACCTTCTTTCCCACTGTCCCGGGAGACACCCTTCACCTCTGCCTGGCACCCAGCCCTCCCATTCTGCAGGATGTTCATTCAGTGAAACCCGGGCTCCAGAAGCTTCTTGAGAAAAGAGACACAAGACTCTGAAGCTTCACATATTTAAAAACATCTACACATGAAAAGATGCTCAACATCGCTCATTATTAGAGGAATACAAATGAAAACTACAATGAGATATCACCTCACACCAGTCAGGACAGCCATCACCAAAGTCTACAAACAATAAATGCTGGAGCGGGTATGGAGAAAAGGGAACGCTTTAGCACTGATGGTGGAAATGTAAATTGATATAGCCGCTATGGAAGACGGTATGGAGTTTCCTTAAAAAACTAGGAATAAAACCACCATATGACCCAGCAATCCCACTCCTAAGGCATATACCTTGAGGAAACCAAAATCGAAAGAGACACATGTATCCCATTGTTCCCTGCAGCACTATTTACAATAGCTAGAACATGGAAGCAACCTAGATGTCCATCGACAGATAGATGGATAAAGAAGTTGTGGTACATATACACAATGAGATATTACTCAGCTAGAAAAAGGAACATATTTGAGTTAGTCCTGATGAGGAGGATGAACCTAGAAGCTATTATACAGAGTGAAGTGAGTCAGAAAGAGAAAGATAAATACTGTATTCTAACACATACATACAGAATCTAGAAAAATAGTACTGAAGAATTTACTTACAGGGCAGCAATGGAGAAACAGACAGACAGAATAGACTTATGGACATGGGGAGAGGGGAGAAGAGGGTGAGATGTACGAAGAGAGTAACGTGGAAACTCACATCACCATGTGTAAAATAGATGGCCAACGGGAATTTGCTGTATGGCTCAGGAAACTCAAACAGGGGCTCTGAATCACCCTAGAGGGGTGGGATGGGGAGGGAGATGGGAGGGAGGTTCAAAAGGGAGGGAACATATATACACCTATGGCTGATTCATGTTGGGGTTTGACAGAAAATAGCCAAATTCTGTAAAGCAATTATCCTTCAATAAAAAATAAATTAAAAATCTTTCCTCCACCCTCACGGTCAGTTGATAGTTTGGCTGGTCACCTGTGTCTTTCTAATTGGAAATCATTGTCCCATAGGATTTTGAAGACATTTTCTCTTGTATTCTGGTTTCTGGTATTGCTACTGAGGAGCCTGAGGCGACTAAAGTTTTTCCGTGTGACCACATTTCTCTCTGAATTCTTTTGGGCCATGGGGTTGCTAAAGAGTCAGACACGACTCAGCAACTAAACAATAAACAGCAACGTTTCTCTCTGGAGCTGGGCTCCTGGTCCTCAGCGTTTTGGTACCGTGCAGCTGGGAGCTTGAGTCCTGGGAGGCGTGGCACAAGGTCTTTGATAACTGGCTCTTCTGCTCTCTGAGGCACCAAGGGCCCCAGGTGTAAAGTGTTGGGCCCCCGATGGTCCTTCAACTTTCTTATTTTCCCTGACCAGTTTCTCTTTGTGCTTTCTGGAAGATATCTTCAAACTTCCCACCCAGTGCTTCTATGGAATGCTTTGCTTGCTATCGTATTGCTGACTTCTGAGAGTTCTTTTCATTTCCAGAATGTTCCTTTTCTTCTCTCTATAGCATTCTCCCCCATTTCATGGACACGGTATCTCCTCTCTCTATCAGTTTTGGAAGTTTTGCTCTGTTCCTTGCATTTTGTGTTTTCTCCAGATTACTTTTGGGTGTTTCAGTTCTCTTTCACAGTAGATGTTGTTGGAAAAAAGTTGCACAACATGAAAGTTTCAAGTTAAGTTTCCTTTGGGGCAAAATCAGGATGGGAGACAGCACTTCAGAGAGTTCTGAGAAACTGCTCCGAGGAGGCAAGGGGAGGAGCCAGGTTATACGGGAGTTTTCCAATAAAGGGCAGGTAATCTGAACATGAAAATTTATTGTTAATTAAAGAAACCAGATATCCCAAGTTAAGGAATGCAGGGCTTTTCTACATGTGGGAAGATGCAGGAGCCTGGGCTCACTGAAACTCCTTTGATATGTACCTCACTTATCTGGGGTCAGTATCTTGTGTATTTTTTTAATTAAAAAATTATTGATTTATTTTTTACTGTGCCAGGTCTTCCTTGCTTTGCTCAGGCTTTCTCCCGTTGTGGAGGTCAGAGGCTACTCTGTTTCTGTGCAGGGTGTCTCATTGCGGGACTTTGCTTGTTGGAGAAGTTCTGGCTCTGGAGCGTGGGCGCGGGAGCTCTGGTGCACAGGGGCCTGTCTCAGACCAGGGGCGGACCCATGTCCCCTGCATTGAGGACAGAAGAGAGGTGGATTGTGGTCCCCTGCACTGCAGGGAAAGTTCCGCGCCCGGTGTCCTCGCATCCTGAGCTTTCTCCAGGCTCACCGTGGGGTGGCTGCAGCTGGTGGCTGCTGGTCGGCAGTGTTCCTCCCTCCCTGCGTCCCTCAGGGCTCACCAGCTCGCCATCTGCGGAGGCTGCAATCCCTGGTGATGTGACATCCTGGTTTGTTGATATGGCAGAGATATTCTGTTTCTCAGTTTTCCTCCGACATGTGGTGGTCCTCACTGTGCATTTACAGATAGGACCTGGAAGCATGCAAAGGCCGTCGGAAGCTCGGGGTTGCGGCTGGGGCTGGAGACCCTTGGCCTCTCTGCAGCCCCCAGACTTCAGTGCTTCCTGGAGACGGCCCCCTTTCCCAGGTCAGAATTTCTCTTCTCCTTCTGGGCCCATCTGAGGCTGGCTGCCTGCGTGTCCGGAACAGAAGTGGGGGGGGGTGGGTCACCCTCCATCTGTAAGCTTCGCTCCATCCTGGGTCCCGGTGTGACGCCCATGCTCTAGACTGAACCTGTGTCCGTGACTGCTGTCCTCCCGCCTGCCGTCTAGGCCCCTGCTGACCTCACCCTGCCCACGTCCATCTCTTTCTCCTCCTCTGATTTCCGTCCCCCTTCCCTTTGCACGCCTGACCCTTGGGGTTCCCCGTCCCCCTCTCCTGTCCCCGCATCCCGCCCATCTCCAGGCACCGTGTCCCCCGAGCTCTGCACCAGGACATCCACCCCTCCCTCAGCTGCCGGACAGGACCCGGCCCGCCCCCCGAGCGTCCCAGGCACCATCTCTCCAGGGTGGACCCCTTCAGCTGTGCTGTTGACTGAGCCAGAGAATCAGTCTAGACTCTTTCTTCCTCCCTGAGGCCTCTGCCCTCACCCCCAGTGCACACTGGTCAGCGGCTGGAGCTGGAGATCATCCTCCCGATGGCCTCTTGGGTCTGTCTTGCTCACAAAAAATGTTGCCTGACATTCCTGTGACAGCGTGTCCCTCTAGCCAGCGGCCACTGCAGCGGTCACTCCTATGGGGCACCCCCAGGGCCCAGGTCGCTGACCCGGCTAGCTGAGATGCATGTCTCAGGAGTAATGGCAACGAGCAAAGATGCTCATATCTTTCCATTCATAGAAAGGCAATAGTCCTGGACTTGAAATGTCTGGTTTCTCTGATTAGCAGGAACCTTTTGATGTTCAACTACAAGTTTTTGGGTTTTGGGGTTTTTCCCCCCAAGAAACATTTCTTTGTATCCTTGCTCCTCCGCTACTTCTTCAGAGCAATTCTTCACTCTCTGAGTGGCTGTCTCCCGGACTGTAACCCTCAGTTGTTTGTTGTGTTTTAATCGCTAAGTTGTGTCTGACTCTTTTGCAACCCCAGGGACTATAGCCCACCAGGCTCCTCTGTCCATGGGGTTCTCCAGGCAATAATACTGGAGTGGGTTGCCATTTCCTCTTCCAGGGGACCTTCTCAACCCAGGGATCGAACCCACATCTCCTGCATTGGCAAGCGGATTCTTTGCCACTGAGCCACCTGGGAAGCCCAATCTTCAAGGTCCCCAAATAAAACAACTCGCAACACAGAGGTGGCGTGTTTCTCTTCACTTGGACTCTCCTCTGTTCCACAGCACCGCTGCTCCCTCCCCTGTAGCTGCTTTCCTATTACTGTTATTATTGTACTGTTGGGCTTCCCTGGTGCCACAGAGGTAAAAGAATCTGCCTGCAATGCAGGAGACACAGGAAACATGGGTTTGACCCCTGGGTCAGGAAGATCCCCTGGAGAAGGAAATGGCAACCCACTCCAGTATTCTTGCCTTGGAAATCCCATGGACAGAGGAGCCTGGGGGGGCTACAGTCTGTGGGGTCACAAAGAGTTGGACACGACTGAGGAACTAAGCATGTTGTATTGAATGTGATTTATATTATATTCACATTTTGCTATATTTGTTTATTATTATTATTACTGTGACTGCCTCTGAACTGGTCCCTTGGTCTCCAATTCTTCCACCCTCAGGTCCAGGTTTATCCTGCAGCCTGCGTGAACTTTCTCAAATGCACACCTTCCTGCGTTACTCTGGGTTACAGCCCTTTGACGGACCTCTGCTGACTGCACAGAGCTCAGGCTCCTTGGCACGTGGGTGCACGCCAGGTTTTGTGACTGCAATCACCCTACAGCCTCTCCCAGCCCGCCTCCTGCTTGGCCCCAGCCTAGTTCTCTACACTCTAGCGCGAGCAAACTGCTGATAGTCCCATCTGCCCCACAAGTCTTCCTGCCGCTGTGTCTGTCTGTCTCAGACACAGACACCTTGGGTCTGTAATGCCCTTTCTCCTTGGCTGCCTGATGAACTCCTTTTTATATTTCCTAATAAGCTAAGTTTCCTCTCAGGATTCATCACACCACGTTAGTTCTTTCATAAAGCACACACGTTATTTCAATTGTTTTGGGAGTTTTTAATACATTCATGTGAACAACAAAGCAGGAGGGGAAGACTTCCCGTCTGTCTATATTTTAGTCTGAATCGTGATGTGTTCATGTTTACCGAAGTCGGAGAGAGGATGACAGCTGTTTGTAGCAAGTGTGTGTCTCACGTGGACCCCCTGAATTATTGAGGTGATTGTCCATGGGGGAAGGTGTCGGTGAGAATGAATACCGTTTTGTCACAGATTCTGAAATACCATGGTTCCCTGGCCTCCATGAGGGCTCCCGGAACCTTAGTATCCTCGATGTAGAAGCAGCAGGAATTCTCTTCCCCTTCTTTCTCCTTGGGTGTCAGGAACCCACACTGACCCCCACACCGCCCTGCTCAGCATTGCCCTCTGCTGCTGGCTTCCCCTGCAGCCCTTCCTCGGCGTCACCCCTGACCCCAGAGACGAGCCGGGCGCAGGGCTCCCGCACTCCCTGAAGGACTAGGAGTCCCTGGGGACACGCCACTGGTTCAGAGCCCCTGTGTGTCCTGGAGTGGGTTTCAGAGGGTCACAGAGCCTCCCACTTGATGTGCATGTGAAAGGGATGACTTCCAATTGATGTGTGTGCAAGTTACAGATTGCAAAAGTTTTCAGTGAAAGTTCTAAGCCCCCTAAAGTGAAGAACCCCTTAAACACTTAGAGCCTTAGGAGGACTTTCAGATTCAGGGACCCGACTTTAAAGAAGATAAACCGCTGTCAAAGCAGCGACATGGGGGTCACGGTGACTGCGTTGCAAGCACTTCTGCCAGATGAGCTGTGTTTGTCCTCTCTGGGTCTAGTGTTGAGACAGGCCCAGCCCACCTGGGTGGACAGGTGTGCGCAGCAGAGAAGGTTCACAGGCGAAGGTTTGGACCGGATTGAGGACGGCTGACTGTATAGCAGCAGGGTGGGCTGGGTGGATGGAGAGAAGGCGCTCAGGTACTGGTCTGTGGGCCACGAATGAGGCGCACACACACTCTCCAAGAGTTAGAATTTGGGCAGAGTTTTCTCACCCAAAAATCTGAAATAAAATCCCAGTTTCATAGGATTCCTTCTCCAAGTCTCCCTGACTTGTCATTTCAGGGACATTTTATGAAACCACAAAGCCACAAAATTCCCGGATTACCAATGGCCAGTCCACACTGTATAACTTGGATATTAAAGAATTTCCTGGGCCTTCCCTGGTGATCCAGTGGTTAAGACTTTGCCTTCCAATGTAGGGGATGTAGGTTGGATCCCTAGTTGGAGACCTGGGATCCCACATACTTCATGGCCCAAAAACCAAAACAGAAAATAGAAGCAATGTTGTAACAAATTCAATAAAGACTTTAAAAATGGTCCATATCAAAAAACTTTTTAAAAATAATTTCTTGATTATTCCTTCTTCTGGTTGCCACTTGACAGGATTAAAAATCATACCTCACATTTTTATTGATCATTTTGTTTTTTTATCTTTATTTTATAGATAAAGTAAATTAGCTAAGATAATAGCATTAATAATCTACTAAAAACAGAATAGTGGTTCTGAGGGGGAGGGATAAGTGAGGAGTTTGGGGTTAAAATATGCAGACACTGTATATAAAATGGGTAGCCAACAAGGACCTACTGTGTCACACAGGGAACCATACTCAGTATTTTGTAATAACCAATAACGGAAGACAACATGAAAAAAGAATATATAGGTATCTCTCTCTCTCTCTCTCTCTCTCTCTGAATTTCTTTCCTATACACTGGAAACATACAACATTGTAACTTGTCTACATTTCAATTAAAAATTTTAAAAAAGAGTAGTGGTTCTCACACTTTTGGGTCTCAAGAACTCTTTATGAGATTTACTGAGGACTCTAAAAACCTTTTGTTTGTTGGTCATGATTACCAGTATTTACCATATTAGAAATGGAAATGGAAAAAATTAATTGATTAATTTACATGATAATTATACAAATAAGCCCATGTGACATTTTTTATGTAAGCCCAGATAAGTTTACATAACAAGACTGTACAACATAAAATATTTTATTTATGTTACAGAGGCTTGGCGGGCAGGGAGGAGGTGCTCGCCGGTCAGCGGCAGGCCCTCTGTCTGCCTTGGCACCACGTCCCGCGGGCGCTCCTGGCCTCGGCGTGGGTGCAGGGTGCAGCGCGGCACAGCTCAGTGCCACATCAACAAAGGCACAGCTGCCCTGCGCTGCCTCTCTGCCTTTCTGAGCTCCTCGTTGGAGGGACAGCAGTTCGCCCCTGTGTCAAGGGCAGTGAGAGGCAGGACTGCCCGCCCCGGGAGAGGGGGCGGCTGTGGCCTGGACGCTTGGGAGCCAGAGCTTGAGTGAGCAGCTCCCATCCGACCCTGCCTGGGGCCGCGGGCTCCCCAGGGACCAGCGGGACCTCCTGAGCCCAGAGCTGATCTCCTGCGCCGTCTTTGGTCAGAAGGCTCCTCTCCAAGTTCGTGTCTGTCTACTCACTGACCCCATGAGCACTGATTAAGCACCTACTGTGTGTCAGGCACTGTGTCCACTCATTGATCCCACAAGCATGGATTAAGCACCTACTGTGTTTCAGGCACCGTGCCGGGTGTTGAGCATACGACCAGGAATAGCACGTGGAGCTGACACTCAATTTTCTCTGGACGAGTCGGTAGATGACCTCCGTGTTGTAGGTCACGTGCAGGGAAAGAAGGAGGCATTGGGGCTGGGGAGCCTGGAGGAGGCTCCAAGTGTAGTCAGGGTGGTCAGAGCCAACTTTCTGGGGGAGGCAACGCTCTTCTGATACTTGGAGGCAAGTGGACTGAGAGAAGGCCTCTGAGACGCCTCTGTGGGCCCAGGAGCCGAGTGTATAGAGGCAGGGAGGCTGAGAGGGGGTCACAGGGTGGGTGGTCCACTGCGGGGTCCTCACCTTATCCTGGGGTCTGCGCCGGGGGACGAGGAGCGGGACCACCCCTGTCTGAGGCTGGGCTCTGGCCAGCGACGCTTTGGGTGCCTGCTGCGCTCTGGGGCCCCTGTGCCTGGGCCACTCTGCTCTCGGAGCCCCCGAACCCATGTGGTCCTGGGGGCCTCAAGGGCTACCTGAACCCCGGCCACGGGCCCAGCCTACCTGCTGCTCCCAAAGCCGCACAATTCAGCATCTTAACATTTGCAGAGCTCCACAGCCCACCTGAGACTCACTGGGCGCCCTGGGCAACTCGCTCTGGAGGCACGTCCCATCCTCATGGGGGTCTCCCTCCTGACCTCTGCCTCCTTGTTACCCCTTCTCCTGAGCTGCCGCTCACCCTCCGGCTATCAAGGACCATGAGATTGGGTGGGGCCCCCACAGACGATTCAGTAGAATCTCCCGGACTCAGCACCTTGGTTAATCACATTTTCAAAGCCCCTTTGGCCGAGAAGGTGGCATGTTTCCATTTTCATTGGTATAGCCGTTGGTGGGGAGTAGGAGGTGGGGAGGGGCACTGCACAGCCAACACAGGGAATCCGCCCGCACCCCTCCCGGGCTGAGGGCACCGGTCCTGACTCTGTCTGCAGAGGGTCCTCCCTGGCCAGGGGCACGTCTGCACCAGAGCCTCACAGGCTCACAGCCCCGGGAGAGCTGTGCTGTCAGCAGGCGGGGTGTAGGCGTTGGGGGGGCAGTGGATCTGGCATCTGGGCAGATGAACCCTGAGAAGGGGGGCTTTTTCAGGGTAACTCTAAGCAAGGGCAGGAGACAGGCCGTAGAGGCACCAACAGGAAGCAGAGAGCGGGGCCTCGGAGCTGCGGCCTCGGGCCAGGCCCTGCAGCACGGTGTGGGCAGCGGGTGGCCCGAGACTGTGGGGCTGAGGACGCTGCAGGCTGGTGGGGTGACGGGTGTGGGTGGGTGTGGGACTCTGGAGCCCGGGACAGGGGTTCGCACGAAGCCTGAGAATGAATCAAGCCCCTCCAGGGTACCACAGGGGAGGGTCCATGGAGCGGATCGCGGTCAGCACGTTTTCTGAGGTCACCTGGTAGCCTACCTTTTAGGTTGCTTTGACTGTTTCCATTCTTCTATTTGTCAGTCTGTTCTCTTTGTTTTTCCTTTTCAGAAAGCAGGATAATCCAAGTAAACAATTCATTTTGTCTGCCCATGTTAAGGTTTTGTATGAAAGTTATTGCAAAAGTTATAAACATGATAAACCCACACAATAAGTTCACCCCCAGTTCCTAGATTCCTTCTCTGACCCCAGCTGCTCCTTGGCAGGTGCCTGCCTTTGTTTTCTATGCAGGCCGCTCTACCTGGAACCCTGACCCCACATAACCTC